CTGAGTAACGGAACTGGGGGAGGCGCCGGGATGGGGTCACGGTGCCCCCCGAGGGGCAGGGGCGGCTCCGGCCACCGCTCACCCCGCTTTGGGCCGCGCTCTGCCCCCAGGGCAGCAGGCAGCTGCAGGAGAAGTCGCTGAAAATCTCCTCCACGCTCTACGTGGGCAACTTGTCCTTCTACACCACCGAGGAGCAGATTCAGGAGCTCTTCTCCAAGTGCGGCGACGTCAAGAGGATCGTCATGGGGCTGGACAAGATCAAGAAAACTCCCTGCGGCTTCTGCTTCGTCGAGTATCCTTCCCGGTTCCCACTTGCTGCCGGGGGCTCTGGCAGTGGCTCCTCTCATGAAACGGAGCAAAACTTTTATTCTCCCTGTCAGGCACATTTCTTCCATCTTCTCTGTTTTCTTTTCCCCTTCCATCCTCTTTCCAAGATAGGTCTTAGTGCAGCATTGAGAGTGAAAAGTACTGTCACTTCCAGGTGTTTTTGGAGGTGGCAGAGAGCACCTTTAATTCATCAGTTTCTTTAACACAGTAGTTTCTCTGGAAGAAGACCTCTTCCTGACCTCTTGTGTGGCCAAAGTAAGAGCACACGTTGGTTTCCTCGCCTTAACTTCACACCTGAACAAACTAGCAGAATAATCCGTGGCGCTGTTCCCAAGCACGGGGTACACGCTTGTACAAGTTGTACTGGGAGCTGCCTTTGCAAAGCTCTCCCGTGAGGCCTGCTGATCTTGTTCAAATTCAGTCCAGTTTCATATAATCTAAGAAGATATATTACAGATTTCTTGCCTGTAGCAAAGCTTTTGCACATTTGTTTCATCTGCTTCTGAAATAAGTGATCCAATGCTACTTCTTGTCTGTGCAGGTACTAATATTAGAGTGCAGCATTTTAGGAAGAATTTGGAGCTGCTTTCAACTTGTATTTATATAGATGCAGTTTTTGATTCCATAGAAAAGAGCGGTGTTTAGGCTGTGAGGCAGGATCCCTCTGTTTGTGAAATAGAATAGTTCTCCCTTTTTTTTTCCCGTTTAGGCTGTGAGGCAGGATCCCTCTGTGAAATAGAATAGTTCTCCATTTTTTTTCCTTTTTCCTGCAGTAAAATAGCAAGTTCAGCTTTCCTTACACTGTGCCTCAGATACTACACGAGAGCAGATGCTGAACACGCCATGCGATTTATCAACGGCACTCGGCTAGATGACCGCATCATCCGGACGGACTGGGACGCAGGATTTAAGGAAGGGCGACAGTATGGGAGAGGAAAGACCGGAGGACAGGTAAAGACATCACTAGTTCAGAGCTTGAATCTGATTTCCTTAAAAGCAGCTGCTGCTTTGCCAGTTTTGCCTTATTCAAGGTAAACTACAGGCTATAAAGACCCAGTAAGGAATTTTAGCTGCTCCCAGGTTGTTTTGGTAACTGAGCTACGCTGATGTTCAGAGCTAAGAGTAGAGCTGAAGCCATTTTCTGGCTGGCACTCCAGTCTTTCAGGCTGTGCAGGCAGAAAGAGCCCCATTCTGCTGCTAATGCTATTAAAATGATGCAGGGTTTGAAGGAGGTGGGTGGGAGGAGGCGGCAGTGTAGCTCCTTTGCCAACCCCAAAATCCAGCAGCATGTCCCAGGGAGAAAGTGAGATGCCCTTGCAGATTCCTGGAGGGTGGGGAGGATAAATGTGTCTCTTGATCCAGAAAGCTGACTGCAAAATCGGATTGGAATATTTTGGGATTTTCATTATTTTTCACTTAAAAAGGCCTTAGCCATCTATTACAGTCTCATTGGTCATTCTTGCTACCACCAGCAGTTTTTTGGGTGGTTGCTTTAAGGAGTTGTCAAAACAAGGCAAAGTGCTTGTAGCCCAAATTCCAGTTCCCCACCAATGGATCAAGGAAGGGATGCTGATTCTGAAATCTCTCTGGAAACAGTACAGAGAGCGAACGTGTGTCACTGCTGGGTCCTAACGTGTGTCACTGCTGTGCCCCAGGTGCGAGATGAATACCGGACAGACTACGACATGGGAAGAGGCGGCTTTGGCAAGATCATTCAGATGCAGAAGGCAAATCATCAGCCTGCAATCTATTAATTGCCTCGTGGGTCCTAGCTCGTAGGAGCTAGCCCTGCACTTGCATTTTGGATTGGGGTAGGGAGTGAGATACAAGTTCCAGCAAAAGGTGACTCTCCTTAGACTGTGGATATACATGTGTTCATTCCCCCTTCCTTCTGGGCTAGAGAGGATGTTCTGTGCTGATACAGGGCAACAAGGGAAAAAACGGACAGCTCTGCAGGATTCCTGGTGAGAAGAGATGCAGAGATGCAGCCTGTCACACCGACCGTGCGCCGCGACACGCGCTGCGCGTCGCAGCCGAGCGCGTGGCCTCCTGCAGGCCTCGTGGCTGCAGCCGTGGTCGCTCGCAAGCGGAACAGCTGGGAAGCTGCCCCGCATCGGAGCCCTCCGGGTGCCTGGGCACCTTGCAGAGATGCACCGGGGTTTCAGATCTCCGCTTTACAGTCTCCATCTGTTTAAAAAGCAGTATTGCTGTTAGATGAGAGAAGTGTAACACGGTCTTACTGTCCACTCGGAGGTGCTTGTCTGCACGTCTAGCCCGTGGCTTGGTCAGGCCTGCAGAGCCTTTCTGTTTGTGATGACCCCAGTGCTGCCTGGCTTTCAGATCCTCACTGTTCGGCGTGATTTTGTTAAATTTTATTTCAATTTTTTAAATAAACAGTGAGTCCTGTACTTGCTGCAGTTCATGCATCAAAGCCTTAGCTGTGTGGCAGGAGCAGGGGAGCGTGCCCGCTTGGACGCAGTCCTGTGCCATGTGCTGTAGGTGACCCTGCGTGTGCAGGGAGCTTGAACTAGATGACCTCTAGAGTTCCCTTTCAACCTTAAGCATTCTATGATTCCATCATTCTATACCCTGGTGGCATTTTAAAGTTATGAACAGAGAAACACCAAAGGGAGCACAAATCTTGCTGTCTTTCCCTTGGCCTCCCTCTTGGTACTGGCTTTCACTTCTCCCATTACGTTTTGCTACAGGGGCTGGCTGAAATGAGAGGGAGGTTCTATATGAAAAGTATATAGCTGCTTGAAATAAGGCAAGTCCTTAAGTTTCACACCAGGAGGTTTTAGGAAATCTTTCTCTATCCTCTATGTAGTTCCAGAATCCAAGAAAGCAATGCAAAGGGCCAGGGTGCACTTAAGAGATGAAGGGACCAGCAACTCCTGTGCTCTGCTTGTAAAGAGCCACCTTCTGCTTTTGTGAGGGTGGAAAGGGCTTGGCCAACACTCCAGCTTGTGCCTGAGGTCTGAACAAGGGACCAGAGAGGAACTGGACCTTTCTGATCTGCCCCACGCACCTCTTGGGTCGGGCAATTCTGTTTCCCAAGTTAAACTCTGATTGCAAATAGGGTTTACATTATGCAAATAACAGCAGCTGGCCCAATAACCTATAGTCACAATTTCTCTTGAGCTGTTTTATCCAAGATGATGCAGTGTGTTCTATGCACACCCATATGTAGACCAGGCATACACTGAAAATTACAGCCACCCTGGGGTTACCCTGTCATCCTTTGTGCTAACAACTGGGATAAGGAGTGAGGTTCTGCACTTAATTTTTTTAAATGTCTCCTACCTGCTTGTTTATGCAAGTCAGGTTGCTGCGTGTGTCCAGCTGTCACAGGTTTTGAGGGAACCGCCTGTTAAGCCTTCAGCAGATGTGAGCAATGACACGACACGACAAGGCTGTGATACAGCCTGTGCCTTGGATGCAGCAAGAAGGAGCAGGATGTTGACTTGGGAGGGAGAAACAGAAGCTGTCGTCTGTCCAGCATCTGCGAGAGCTGCTTGGTGAATGACATGAATTACAGATGAAGAATTTCCTGGGCAAACACAGCAAGGAAAAGGCAAAGCGTGAGGAAGATGAGGAGGGATATCTGCTATTAGACTGTTAGATTCGAGACCCTTGAGTAGGGATGTATAAGGCAGAACCTGGAATGGCCTGCTGGGCATCTCTGTCCTACGTGCAAACCAGAGAGCATGGAAGCCTGTGCAGTCTGAACAGGCACCTGGACTGTTTTATTACTGGGAAGGCATCAGTCTTGTTGTCTCTGCAAAAGAGATTCAGAATGCAGTTTTACACGGAGGTCTCCCTGTTCCTCTCTCTTCAGGTTGGGGAAAGAGACTTCAAGTCCCACAGCAGGTCCGGTGAGCTCTGCACCATTCCCTTCTGCACGTGACCTTTGCAAAGAGATTGATTTGTGTTACCTTTTATTCAAATATGTACATAAAAGGATCCAGCTCAAATACTACAACTGCTGGAGTCCCTCCCCTCCAGGATAACCATCCCAAACAGACTGAAACTGGTGAGAAAGTTTCCAAGCTAGCTAGGGTTAGCAGTGGAGCAGTTTGCTGGGACGTGGTGCAGACCCCCATGCGCTGCAGCAGCTCTGCTGACCAGTCCCTGTCACAGCCCGAGCAATGAATCCTCTTCCCAACCACCTTCTCCACTGGAGCCACCCCTAGCTCCATGTGTGACGCTCCAGTCCATGCCGACCCCGCTGGGATCCCGATCCAGCCCTCGGGCACCTCTGCGCTGCACCCAGGGCAGCGCCACCGCTCTGCTCCGCTCACAGCCCTCTGCACTGCAGGTGGGAACCACCTGGATCTTCGTGCCCCCCTTCACATGGTCCTGGCTGTGGTGAATGCAGCGGGAAGGCCGCGCCGCTCGGACACCATCTCAGCGGGAGCAGGATGGTCCATCAGGAGGTGGTCCCCATGGATGGGGAACTGCCCATCGGTGCCGTAAATCGCTGCCTCCACCACCTCCTCCAGGCCGCCCTCCCCGCGCACTGTCCTGTAACAGACTCCCCTGGGGGACCAAGGTGGCCTCCCCTTGGGCACAAGCTCCATCATGGCACATCGCCAACGCCAGGACGGGCCGCGCCGCAGCACGGACCGGGAACGAGAGCGGGAGCAGCGGCTG